GGGTCCTAGTGGTTCATCCTCTGCTGTAGACTGTGGTACGTACAATTAAAGTTGCGGAGCCGGCGTTAGATAGAGTGGTATGTATTGCTTATATAGCAATTAGTGTAGTGCTAGCTAAGGTGTAGAAGCAGGTAATGCTAGTACTTTTACTATTATTAGTAGTAGTATTATGTTTAGCTTACTTTTATGTAGTAATAGAGGTTATATATAAAGCTTTTTAAGTGTAATTACTTTTTTATACTATATTTTATAGCGTTTAAGCTTAAGTACTTTCATTATTTAGCTATAACGTACCTAACAGGTTGGCCGGCTACACAGGTTAGCCGGCCACTTTTGCTAAGCCCCCACCACACTCTACCTATCTACATAATGCCTTAACAACAACACTAGATTAAATTTTCTAAAGAACATTAAATATAGCTTACTCTTTAAGCTTTTAAATAAGACTTAAAACTCTCTTTATAACATGCTGCAGCTATCTATAATGTTTTTTACATAATACTAAGTAATTAACGCGCTAGACAGCCTTTATAAGTAGAATACTAGCCTAAATTAAGAAATCTAACTAAGCTTAAAAAAAAGTTGTTGTTAAGTATATACTTAAGCTTATTACACATAGATTTCTCTTTAGGCTTATAGCTATAGCTAATATAGCTAATTCCTTACGCATAAAGCATAATCTAGGCTAGGTTAGCTTAAACTAGCCTAGTATATAAGTTAAGCACTGCCCTAAGTTTATAATAAAGTTTAATTATAAGTATAATTATAAAAAAGCGCTTTATAAGAATCTAGAGGTTATTTAAAGCTAGTTTTACTTAGTAGCTAACATAAAAGCTAAGTACAGTATCTAAGATAAAGACACATATAACTTTAATAAGTTAAGCTTTATAATAAGCTAAATATTAACTAGAGTAGTTATTATAGCTTTAAAAAAATAAAAACAGCTAAAAGTAATATAGTAAAGTAATAAAAAGTAGATAATAGTTATTTAAAGCATTAATATAATAAAGTAGGCTATTTTACTCTTTATTATTTTTAAAAGCTGCTATTACTTTTTTACTTAGTATAAAAAAATCTACTTTAGAACTAGGTTATTATAGTCTCTAAGAATAGCTAAATAATAAATAAGCTTAAGCTATAGTAGTTAAAGCACTTATTAGCTTTTTATTATTAATAGCTATAAAAGCTATAACTTGCTTAATTTCTAGTAGTACTATAAAAAAAATAAAATTATTATTATTTATATGCCTTTACACTTATTACACCTTTTATAGCCTTTTAATATAGGTTGTTTTACCCTTTTAAAAAAGGCATATAAGTGCTAAGCTAAAGATCTTATATGTAACTAGATTACTTATATTATAAAACTTAAGTTTCTACTATGCTTTATACGCACCTATAATGTAGTAATTACTTTTAGTAATATTTAAAAAGGGTTTTAAGGCGCTAGTTTAGTCTTATTTAACCTAGAATAAGTTAAAATAGCCTTTAATATCTAGTTATGTACTTTAGTACTACTACTACTTATTAATAATAAGCTTTAGTAGTTGTAAACCTTAAGTAATATGTTTGCAGTAATCACACAATAGTTAGATGCGTTGTCACCATGGTCGCATGCGTTGTCACCATGATTAGATGCGTCGTTATTATAGTTGTATGCGTTGTCACCATGATCTGTTGCCAAGACTCACCCACTTATTTCGCATGTATATAGACTCCTACAAAGGACTCCTCTAGATAGACAATACAATCCAGTTCCTTATGTCTTTAGTGCCTTACATAGCTTTACATAATACTTTTAAATTTAAGTTATAATTAATGCTTACAAAAGTAAAAATTTAAAGGCATATAAATAGCTTACTAACATCTATAGTAAAAGCCTTTAAAAAGGTTTTAAAAGAGGTAGTAATTATTACATATAAGCTAGTGTTAGCTTAAAAGGAGATTATAAAGCTTTAAGTAGTAAATAAAGCTGCTATGTAATATAAATTACATAAAAAAAAAGTAAATTTGGGCAAAAAAAACTTTAATAGTTAAGAATAAAGCTTGTCTAACTACTCTAAAGAAGTTTAGAGCGTGTAGTAATAAAAAAAAGCTAAAGACGCAGGTGCGCACTAAAAAAAGTAAGCTAAGTTAAAAGTAATATAAGCAGTGTAATTAGACTAAGTATAACTTACATATGTATAAGGAAGTAGTAAAAGTAGACTCTAAATAATATCTTATGTTGTATTACTTTATATAGGGCTAAAGTAGGCTGTTTTGCGCCAGAATGGGGTGGTTTTAGTAGGGGCTTAGCAAAAGTGGCCGGCCAACCCGTTAGGTACGTTAGTGTAATTCCTTTATCTTTTAGCACTTATATAAGCTTCCTTTTAAACACATAGCTAAGTGCTAAAAGGCTTTATATTATTTATTTTTTAAAATCTTTTATATATAACCTTAGAACAATAGCGCTCTTTTAAGTTATTATATATAAATTAGTAACATACACTATAAGCAAGTTTCTTACACACCTAAGTTACTTACTTTTACTAACGCTCTACTAAACTACTCTTTTTATACTAATATATTCCTAACAACACTACTTAGATATGCTAAAAGAATATTAGATATAGCTTATACTTTAAGCTTTTAAATAAAATATAACACTTTCAAAGTAATATACTATAGCTATATATAAAGTTCTTTAAAAAATAATAAATAACTAGTATATTAAATAACTTTTATAAGCTAATTTTATAGCTAACTTATAAAAGCTAAATAATAATAAAAAGTAAGTAATTATTAAGTATATACTTAAGATATATGCACAAAGATTTTCTCTTTAGCTAGCAACTATAGCTAATATAGCTAATTCTTTGCATAGTAAGCATAATTTAGGCTATATTAGCATAAACTAGCTTAGTGTGTTTATAAAGTGTTATCTAAAGCTTAATGTAAAGTTTAAGTATAACTATAATAATAGAAAAGCTTTTTATAAAATTTTTAAAGTAATTTAACACTAGTTTAGCCTTATAAAGAATATAAAAGCTATGTATAGTATTTAGAATAATAACATATATAACTTTAATAAAATAAGCTTTATAATAAACTAAATATTTACTAACTATACTTACATTTAATACTTTATTTTAAGCTTTAAATAACACTTTATAATTATACTAGGCTAGTTTATGCTAACATAGCTTAGACTACACTTAATATGTAAAAGATTAGCTATATTAGCTATAGTTACTAGCTAAAAGAAAAATTCTTATATATATAGCTTAAGTATATGCTTAATAATTACTTACTTTTTATTATTATTTAGCCTTTATAAGTAAGCTATAGAATTAGCTTATATAAGTTATTTAGTATATTAGTTATTTATTATTTTTTAAAAGACTTTATACATAGCTATACTATGTTACTTTAAAAGTATTATATTTTATTTAAAAGTCTAAAGTATAAGCTATATCTAACATTCTTTTAGCATGTCTAAGTAGTGTTGTTAGAAATGTGCTAGTGTAGAAAAAGTAGTTTAGTAGGGTCTTAGTAAAAGTAAGTAACTTAAGTGTGTAAGCGACTTGCCTATAGTGTATGTTATATAGCGTACTATTTATTTATAAAAGTAACTTATTTTATATTAGCTTTTTTAATCTTCTAACTGTTAAAATTTTAAACAGTGCTTTAAAAAGTGCTTTAAACACTGCTGCAGTAAAAGCTTTAGCTAATATTTAGTAGCTAGTACTAGTTTTTAAACGCGTAGCTACTCTTGCTATAGTTTTTATAGTAAAAATAATTACTAACAGCTTTTTAAAACTGCTAAGACTTAGTTTCATTATCTTCGTATTAAAAAGCCTATACCTCTTTAAAATCTAACTAAAACAACAGATATTTAGGTATATATGTAGGCAAGCTGTTGCTTTCTTAAAGTTCTGATATATTTAGTAAGGCGAAAACAACGCGACGCGACTGCTAAGATGTTGCACAGATTAACGCACACAATGGATCAGGACTTTGTGCTGCACAACATATCGCCGTTAATTATCGACCACAATATATCCCTTTCCCTAGAGTACAACCTCCGGATCATTGGCGAAGAAGGTTGCTTCGATGCTGAGAAGGGGCTCTTGTTCAACGTACAAGTTGTCTCTTCATCTGGGCGGCAACAACATGTCGCTTTAGAGGGGGCATTTGCCGACGAAAGCCTATGCATGATTTTTTGAGAACAGTGCCTCTGGTGACACTCCTGCCCCCGAAGGAAAACTCTACAAAATCCATATAGCTATTCTTTAACGCTAGAGTATAATGCACGAAAAACAAACAAGTTTAGAAGCCTTTTGCGAAAGATTCTCGGAAGTGTTGTGACTTTGTTCTCTCCACTCTCTGTCAAATCCCTGAGCAACTCCCTCCTTGTTCAGAAGCAGAGGGTAAGGTGGATGCTGAAGGATCTTCATACAATTCTCGATATTCCAAATGACCATGCCGGCCCGCTCCGTCTACACCATCATTCGTTTCGTGACTTCCTGATGGACATAGACCATTTCTCGATGCCAATTTCTGGTAGATGAGAAGCTAGCACATCAATCGTTAGTCGATAATTGCATACAACTTACGTCAGGCTATCTCAAGCAGGACGTGTGCGGCATCGGCTCTCCTGGTGCGCTTGTGGCTGAGGTGGAGAGGAGCCAAATAGAGCTGTGCCTTCCTCCAGAGATGCAATAAGCATGCCTCTATTTAATAACACATCTCCAGGAGAGCGGCGCTAGGGGAGCGGCGGCGACTGTGTGCGTGAGTTCCTGAGAGAATACTTTCTCCACTGGCCTGGAGCGCTTAGTTGGATGGGTAAGGTGTCTGAAGGGATTCACGCCATCGATTTTCTCGAGTCGCTCGCGCTAGTAATAATAATCTCTATTACACATCAAGAGCCATACATGAATTTTTATTTAGGAAAGTAGTTGTTCCGACCTATACGCATTCGTGCATGAGATGAAGCGGTTTGTGCTGTACAGCTGGCCAGGATCCAACAGGCCGCTCTACAGGTATGCTGCAGTTCACTTGTATTTGCACCAGCCATGAGCGTAGCGAAGAGGAAGTTTGTCGACAAAGTACTTCGATGGATGAAGAGATTGCCCCGGGTAGAAGAGAATTGGACGGCATTGCTGCAGACGCTTGAAAGCCATTCGGAGCCGGTCAGCGCGGTAGACTTCTCACGACTGCAAGACCTTGGTGTCGGCATCGAGCGACACGACGGTCAAGCTGTGGGACGCTAACACGGGCGCGGTGCAGCAAACGCTCGAGGGCCATTTAAAGGCGGTCATGATGGTGGCCTTCTCGCCGGACAGCAAGGTGCTAGCGTCGGCATCGCACGACAAGACAGTCAAGCTGTGGGATGCTAACACAAGTGCAGAGCTGCAGGCCCTTGAAGACTATTTGAAGGCGCTCATTATGGTGGACTTCTCTCCAGACGGTAAGGTGCTGGCGTCGGCATCGCTCGACACGACGATCACGCCGTAGGACTCTAGTAGAGCAGTGCTTTCCTGCCGGACGGCAAGGTGCTGGCGTTTACATTTTACGGCAGGTCTATCAATCTATGGGACACTTGCGCGGGTACCGAGCTGCAGGCACTCGAGCGCCATTTGAAATGAGTCCACGTCATGGCCTTCTCGCCGGACGGTAAGCTGCTGGCAACGGCATCAGAGGATAATGTGGTCAAGCTATAGGACGTCAGCACGGATGATATGGTACAAACTTTCCAAAGTAGCGCTGATCCTCGCGTCATTTTGTTCTCCAATGACGGAACATTTCTCGAGACTCAACAAGGGATTATGCGTGTTCCCTCTTTCTTTCCTAGTGAAGCAACTTACACTCCAAATCTTATAAGCGAAATATCGCTCAGGGAGGAGGGGCTTACCTAGGGTATGACGAACATGTTTTGGATCCCTTCTGAGTACCGACCAGGTTGCGCTACTCTCTGTATGGGGACATCGTTGCTCTGGGCTATGACTCCGGCCGCTTGTCAATCTTAGAGGTTTCTTCTGTCGCCTCTCTTGTATCTTATCGTACTCTAAGCATCGAAACAGTTTCTCCTGTTGGTGATTTCATCAAAAGTTAACTCTATAATATCCATATGATCAGTCAAACAAGGCGATTTCTAAGCTTTAGTCTTGCTGCTATTAAGTGAACTATGTAGCACAGCAATGGATACAACGTCAATATAACTACTAGGGCAGCAGAGTGCCAAATAACGCTGTGTACTAAATTCTAACTGCGATGGTTAGTACGTCAGAGTACCAACGCAGCCATCCGTCAGCGCACCCGGCAGTGCAGCACTAAAGTACATCAAATTTAGTACTGGTTAGTAAAGTATAGAGGTGGTTATCAGTACAGTAACTATATATAATGCCCTTTTACTGGCCGTTTACGTTAGCCTGTATAGATTTTAGGTGGAGTAGAGGTGCTTGCGCGGCTGCAGGAGGAGCAGATCTCTCAAGAGGGCCTTAGGATAGCCAGAAATCAATGCAGATTATACACATCTAGCGTGTTTTGTGAGCAGTTTGCTAAGAATATCCACCACACGATAATCTAGCCTCTTTATCCGCCTTAAAATGTTACTTCCTTAGTACTTACGTGCTAGCCTTAAGCCTCTTAATGCATTGCCGCTTCTTAGGCCTTAGGCAGTTGATCTGCCTTCAAGAAGCGCTTGTTTGCTATTCTGCAGCGTTTTACGCACAATAATTAGGACCATAGAGCTATAAAATAACCAGCTATATAATAAGGTAGTAAGTAGTAAGTTAACTAAGCTGGCAGCGCCTATTAAAAGTGCAAGGAATGCAGCTAAAGAAGAGGAGTATTTAGTTGCAGGTAAAAGCACAATCTAACGAGTAAGCGGGATTGCACCCTAGGAATGCGCGAGGTACCCGCGTCGTGTTTTTAGACGGGGAGCATATCGCTTTGTCGGAATGGATGCGGTTTACATGTGAGGAAGCCTAACCGTTAGGGATTCTAAAGTGGATAACTCTTACTTGTGCTCTGTAGGGGGAACTCTAGGATTTAAGATCTTTATAGACTCTTAAATCTTTCAATGAGGAGAGAATTAAAAGAATGGACGAGGGAGTGTTCAACCTGAAGTTAGGTACACCATCGGATATCAATGGTTGTATCGAGTACAGCAATAATAAAACGTCCTGAAGATCTTTACCTTTTACCAGCGGTGCAGAGGGGAACAAATACAACCTCCTATACAGATGGGTCGCGGCTTCAGCTCTTAGCCAGGCCTGATCTAGCTTAGAAATACAGAAAAATACTTTTAGCAGTAGCTATTCTATTTTATAATGTATAAATTAGAAATCTATAAAAATGTAGTTAAAAAGTACTATATTTTGTTATAAAAATAGTTAATATTAAATAGTTTTAACTATTAAAAAGGTCCTTATTAAAATACTTAAGCTATAGTAGTAAACTTTGTATAATTAGAGAACTATTACAGTCTACTCTACTTCGCAACTCTGCACATTTATGTATCCTTTAATATTGTAATAAATATACTTATTAGTAATAGGCAGTTTAAGAGAAGTTTTATTAAAAACTTATAACTCTACATTTCAAGTTACATAAAGTTAGTGGTTTAGCTAAGTTTGTCGCATTCCTAGTACAGAAACCTTCTTTCTCTGTGCCTCAACAGCCTCTACTGCTGTTACTATAGCTCCTACTACCTTTACTATATCCCCTTAGCCACTAACATGGCCCTCACTGCCCCTGCTATTAGATGTAAATAAATACTCTGCAACAGAGCACTTAGACTTAGACTAATACACTTCACTTCATCAGCTTTCTACATAGCTGCATGCTTACACCACCTCTCCATTTGCAACGAAGTTGCTTATCTTTTACGCGGCGGTTAATTTTCTTTGCTTTGCATCATCTCTTTTATTCTCAGCGCAGTTGTGCAAAGCTAGCCACATGAGGTACATTGTATTAGCCGTCGCTAAATTATTAAAAGTCCCGCTAATTTAATATATTATAGACAAACTTGCCACCACTAAATTATAAACAACGTTACTCCAGGCAAAGAAAATAGATTATTAGTATGGTAGATTAATGTGTCGAGGCTTAACTAATTTTAAGAACAGACTTGATTCCGTGCGCTCACAAGCAGGCTAGAACACCAGTGCGACATTCCGCATCGCTCTCGACATTCACACTTCGAACATCCTGAGGAGTACCGCGGACACCGAACAGGATGAAGTGTTACGCACTCTTTAGAGCTCTCCTATTCCAGCTCCTCCTCCACTCTTCATTCGCCGCGAGCATACGGAGTATATTCCTATTTAAGGACGTGATGAAGTCAAACACCACAGCCTTGAAAACATCCGGCTTCAACACCCTTATCATGTTCGGTGTCGGCATCCTCGATAATGGCGACATAATGTACTACTCGAACACCGCAGGAAGTAAGGACGTTAAGATAGCAGCCAACGGTGCATACGTTGGCGGCGACGCACTCGCCGACAAAGTCCGCTCATTCAAAAAAAACGATACAGGTATCGACAGGCTCGAGATCTCGATGAACGCCCAGCATGTCCGCGACCTGATGGCTGCACCAGGGCCAAGCACTGAGACACCACTGTATCGTAACTTTGAGGCGCTGAAGACGGCATGGAGTCTTGACGCTGTGAATAATGACGACGAATCTATATATCACTCGTCCAGCACAGTCTCCTTTGCAAAGATGCTCGGCAAAATCGGATACAAATATACCATCTCCCCCTACACCAGCACCAATTTCTGGCGCACCATCACCACGCAGCTGAACGACGGTCTCACAGAGCCCAATCTACTTATGGACAGAGTGTATCTACAGTGCTACGACGGCGGCGCAAGCAATGATCCTGCGAGCTGGCAGAGTTCGCTGGGCATGAAGGTTGTACCGCTAGTGTGGGTTACGAATGATTCGAAGCCGAGTTATGGGACGTCGGTTGCACAGGCGCGTACGAAGTTTACGGGGTGGAGTAAGAGGGGTGGATTGGCGGGCGGTGGGTATTGGAACGATTATGATATTGAGAAGATGGGGTTAAGTTATGCGCAGTATGGGGATGTTTTGAAGAGTGTATTTCCATGAGGGAAGTACTTGGGAGGCGGAGACTTGGTGCTCTTTTAGTATTAGCCATGAAGACATAGTTCAGGTCTGTGCAGAGATGTCTGGAATTTATCGTTGTGGAACCAGGGCTTCTCACAGACAAGTGTAAAGGGTCTTGCTACTCGGATACAAGCTGTAGTCCTTGTTTGAAGTTCGTGGTGTCAACGATTTGTCTTTCTCCTATTTTCCAATACGGAGATTGTTGGTCTTAATATTCCTCTCCACGCCTGCTTGCTATTTTCATCTAGTCACGGAATTTGATTGCCCTGGAATTTCTTCTGAAGTCTTATGGATACTTTATGCAAGATTTGTCTACACGTTTCTCGCGAAAAGGTAGGTTGCTGTTATCTTACCTGTACATGCTAGGTGTATCACGTTCTTCGCTTGTCTAGCTTGCTGTAGAAAACACAAGAGGGTTTTAGTTGTTTGGTATAACGTGTTTCATGAGCGAACGGGTCACGCAAGTGAGCAGAGTAGCAAACCCTACTAAAACGCCTAGTCAGCCACGCAACGCAACACTATAATAATTTTTTATACTACGTATAGTAGTAGACTTTTCTTTAGATATAGTCCCTCTATCTAAATTATCTATTTCTATTATATAAGTGTAGGTGTTATGCCTAGCTTTAATAGAACACTTAACGTACCTCTTAACGTACTTCATGGGCGAGTTGCTCACACACCCGAGTTGCTTACTTTTGCTAAGACCCTACTAAACCACCCTTCCTACACTAATGCATTCCCCATAACACTACTTAGACGCGCTAAAAGAACATTAGATACAGCTTACACTCTAAGCTTTTAAATAAGACATAAAACTCTTAAAGAAATATGCTATAGCTATATATAAAGTTCTATAAAAGATAATAAATAACTATAGCACTAGACAACTTTTATAAGCTAATTCTACAGCTAAATTATAAAGGCTAGGTAATAAAAAGAAGCAGGTAATTATTAAGACTATACTTAAGCTATATGCGCAAGGAATTTCCTCTTAAATAGCATTTATAGCTAATATAGCTAATTCTTTATGCGCTAAGCATAATCTAGGCTATGTTTACATAAACTAGCCTAGTATGTTTATAAAGCGTTATTTAGAGCTTAAAGTAAAGTTTTAAGCGTAAGTATAGTTAAAAGATATCTAGCTAATTATAAACCTTGTTTTGCTAAAGTTGTATGTGTTATTATCTTAGATGCTATACTTAGCTTTAATATTCTCTATAAGGCTAAACCTGCTCTAAATTACTCTAGGACTCTTATAAAGAGCTTTTTTATAGTTATACTTACACTTAAATGTTACTTTAAGCTCTAAATAACGCTTTACAAATGTACTAGGCTAGTTTATGTAAACATAGCCTAGATTACGCTTAGCGCGCAAAGAATTAGCTATATTAGCTATAAATGCTATCTAAGAGGAAATTCCTTGCGCATATAGCTTAAGTATAGTCTTAATAATTACCTACTTCTTTTTATTACCTAGCCTTTATAATTTAGCTGTAGAATTAGCTTATAAAAGTTATCTAGCGCTATAGTTATTTATTATCTTTTATAAAACTTTACATATAGCTATAGCACATTTTTTTAAGAGTTTTATGTCTTATTTAAAAGCTTAGAGTGTAAGCTGTATCTAACATTCTTTTAGCGCGTCTAAGTAGTGTTGTGGGGAATGCATTAGTGTAGAAAGGGTAGTTTAGTAGGGTCTTGGCAAAAGTAAGCAACTCAGGTGTGTGAGCAACTCGCTCATAAAGTACGTTACAATAATAAAGAAAACCTAATTTATAATATCTACTTTATAAATAGTATAAGTCTTAGCTTAGTAACTTTACTAGCAGCAGTAGCTACTACTGCGCTGACTCATATTGAGATGAAACACTACGTCATGTGACGTAGTTTCACCTGGTTCAATTATCACGTGCCACAGAACACAGCGGATTGAGTGCTAAGAAGTAGCATGAGTCCCTCGCCGTCAGGCTGACGTGTATCATTTCCGTACTACCATAAATGGAGTTAACTAGGATACCAACCCATGCAGTGGAACAGATAGCCCCTATGAGCGAGTGAAGCAATGGGCGAGAGTGGTGACCTCACAAATGGAGGAAAATTAGGAAAACGTTGCATATTGGTAAACATGATGGCATCAACGTACAAATGAATGAATCAATTTTAAAACGCCTAAGAATATTTTCTAGAGAATCGCAAAACTTCTTGTATGCGGTTACAAAAAGTGTGGGGGTAATGATACATATCAGTTTGGCTCAATCCGGATACCAGAGATGGTTGAAGGCTTAGCAACAGAACTAAGGAGGGATCAGGGAGACTTCTTCTCTAGGTGAGTCCGGAAGAAGCGGACTAAAGGGTCCCATATCATTATTTTGCCGTCAAAGTAAGAGTAAGCGACACCAATTAATGCCCCCGAGAAATGGGCCTGCTGGTTGTTAATCGAGTGTTTATGATGTTGATGTCATAAACTCACAGCATGCCCCCAATTGATTGACTTGAATCCAAATACCATTCCATATAAATCGAAAGCCATGATACATGGTAAGAAGTATTGCGCTTCAAAGCTGAAGGGTAATAGAATGATGCCGATCCCACTGTCTGGATACTGCATACAGAAGGTACTAAAGATCGCAAAAATGGCGCCACTTGCTCCTCCACATGGAATAAAAGCTTGGGGGATCACTCTCGCTCGGCTTGCAAATATAGTACTCCAATGCTGGGCATAACCGGAAAGAATGCCAGCCGAGAGGAAGAACGAAAGGGTATGATAGGAGCTACCTTCAAAGAGCTGGGATCGAGCGACAGGTCGCAAGAAGTTGTAGCACGCATACATATTGAAAAGGAGATGAGCCGGACCAGAGTGTACAAACATATGGGTTAGAAGTGTATAATTATGGTTTAGAGCCGGCGTATGCCACAGGGAGTTCCAGTAGTTGGGGTCAATATATCGAGTGAGATGAACAAGGCCATTCACGGCGATGATTCCGTAGCTCAACCTCGAAATTGAATCGAGGTCGTTCCAGGCTTGTGATATAGTTTGGGCAGGACCAGCGGGCTGTGGACTGGAAAACTGAGGCACCCGGATCCGGAAGCGCTGAGAAGCTTCTTCCACCTCCGATTTTGCCTCCCAGTATGCGAAGAGAGCATATATTCCGGACGAGGCTGCAACAGCCCATAGAGCGGGTCGCAGATACCTCACTCTCACTTGTCGGGCCTCTCGTTCATCATCATGCTTATATTCCCCTTGGTTTGGGGCAAAGTGAATATCTTCGCCCTCGTTATGCTGCTCATTTGAAGGTTCCGGGTTAGGTTCTAGGCGGGTTCTGTCCTGCGTTGTGGGGATAGTTGACTTAACAGGCTTTGATTCACGTCTCCCATGTTTGCCGCGCGTTTGGAGAGTGGTCCGGAGAAGGCAGAGAGGTTGATTGCAGAAAAGAGGCCTCGGTAGTCGGAAAGGTGAGAGAACAGGTTTTGAGACTAAGGGAGAGATGCGAAAGGGAGGCATTGGCATGTGAAGGATGGTGAATGTCTTGGAGGATGTTGCGCCTTTAGCGCGAAGTCTTCAAGCGGTGAAACTGCACTATTCCATTTCAGGCTTAGATTTTCTTGCTATCTTGACCACGTGTTTCCTCATCACCTCCAGCCGAGTGCCACATGCTTTCTGAAGGAGTCAATTCTAGATACGAGCTGGACTTCGGGTCCGGCCGAATCATAAGTGCGCATACATCCGCCTTGATCCAATCCCTGTCGCCGCTCCCTCCATTAGACATTATGAAGAGCAGAAGAAGTTCTGGAGAATCTCACCGGACAAAATGCTAGAGTTTGCCATCTTCAAGGCACACCTGCTTATTATAGAAAGTAGATCGCCAGATGAACGTGCCTTTGATATGCATTAACTAAGGACATACGGTTGTACTGTATATATTCCGTTCCGTCTTGGTATGCGACTCGGAGCGACCAGAAAATACAAAGATTTCTACCCGGCTTCGTCGTGTGCAACGGGCACATCCTGCCAATACAGAAAGTCAAAATTCTCCTTGAGCTGAGCGACGACCCCCTGAAACACTGCTTTCTGGAAAGCCGCGTCCTCTAGACTGCTCGCCCGCTGGTCAAAATCGCATCGAATGCATCTTCGCACTGCATCGCTGTACTTGCCTCCAGCATCATTGTAGAGCTCGTCAACCAGTCGGTCGGCCGTGTTCCACTGAGCCATGATATCTGCACTACCGTTGCCGAGTGCCCCGTCTTCAGGCTTACGCAGGTCCGACATGGTCTTACCGTACCAGAGCTCGATAAGAGAAATCCCAAGCGCGTAGAGGGTTTGATTTCTAATGATCCTACGCATCGACGCTGGCATTGGATTTGAAGGAATTTGAGTCGCTTGATCGTATCGTTGTGTGACAAAAGGGTGACCATACGCTGCTTTGCCGGTGCGTTTGATAAAAAGGATGTCGTCCATTCCCCAGCTCTCGTCCAGCCATGGCGTTTCATGTAGTTGCAGAACACTGGAGGCTAGCGTCACAGCTAACTGGAGGCGGTCACGCCGAGCAAATCCGGGATCTTGTAACACGCTTCGCAGGGAGGCTATCGACCACGCTTCAGTATCTGACGGTCGTTCTTTTAGAGGGTAGATTAGTATCCCGTATTTCTGCCTGTTGTACTCATTCTCCAAGAGCGAAAGACAGACGGTGCGATGTAGCTTCTGCAAGGTGCATATTGCCGCGCAGAGGTCTTGTATAGGTTGCAAGTTTGGGGTGGGATCGAGTGCCGCCTTGACGGCTTTCTTTGCCTGGCATGCAAAGCGCACGCCTTTTCCGCCCCCTGCTCCAGCTTTAACTGCTGCTGATGGAGTGTCAGATGAACTCTTCTTCTCTAAGGTGATGTGGACATCGGCCTCTTCCCAAGTCCATGGCTTTTTAGCCACTGTTGGACTGCTGGTGCTTTTTAATAATTCCTCATGACCGTTGCAGAAGACTACGTGGAATGAATCTCGCATCGCATCATATTCTTCGTCTTCATCGGACGAGTCGTCGCTCTGGGCATCGTCCATACGAGGCTCTAGGCGCAAGTTGACGGTGTGATCAGCGTGACATGGACACTTCCACCCCGAACGTAGTGCAAAGTGAAATCCCTTGGCTCGATCGTGAATAGCATTAAAATTTGGAATAGACCGTCCGTCCGATTTGCAGGAGCTCTGCAAACTTTCGAGGGAGATGGTCTGTGTTGTTAACCGATGAAGAGAAGAGTTCGCACGGCGAAGTCTAGCCATGAGATCGTCATAGTCACACTTCTTTAAACTGAATTTAAGTCGCTTGAAGCACTCCTTAAAGGCCATCTCATCGGCGAATTGGGGCTATAGGGCGTTTAGCGTGCACTAAGAGTCAAAGTGTAGAATTCCTTTTTTTTGCTAGCACATACCTTGCCTGAAGGGTTCAGCTTTAGCCTCTGCTTAAAAGCCTGTGCCGCCCTACTCAGCTCACTGACAGTAGCCATATAAGACTCGTAGCTCGCGCCGAGCCGCTGCTTTAGCTTCCGGTCAAACTTCGCCTCTTTCCAGCGGTCGCCGCATGGGTCCACCAGAAACTCGGCCATGTCTTTCTGCTTAACGATGCCGACGAGGAGCAGATTAATGCTGTTGGTGCATATGGCGTTCTCCGTTCGAAGTTCATCGATGAGACTGTTGAATTGTTCTCGATATTTGAAGCAGCGCTTGGTCACCGCTATGCCTTTCATGTAGAATTCAAGCCCGGCCAGAATCAAGGGAATGGAGCCTAGGACTAGGCCTGCAGTTTCCACGCCCGTCGCCATGGCGGTAGTGACAAGGGTTGCGCACACGAGGCTGAAAGTTGGTGCGGCGAGCTCGCTGACAATGGAGGCTCACGAGCAGAGAAACGTAGGGGCAATGCTAACAATGAGCATGGCCGGACGTAGATGGCCTCTAGCCGTAACAGCAGGGTTATTTGCCAGATGCCTGGGAGACCAGAGGTCTTGAGCTGAGCAGAGGTAGGAGGCTGAGGCGATGAGACGACCGAGGTCATGCGGGGCTTTAGCCCCCAAATCAGCATCCATTATCCACGTCCAGAGCCCGGCACCTACCGTAGCACCCCAGCAGCCTACCAAGCATCCATCTATCAGTGATATCGACCTCCAAATACTCCGTACACCCATGGAAAGCATTGTCCTAGCTCAGTGACGATGGATCATAGTCCACTTATCTTCACTCGGGTTCATGATAACGGTATCGCATTCGTCAGTCTCGAGGAGGCTCTGAAGACAGCCCCGCGATTCGCAGCCCAGGTCCGACCAGAAGCCGTGAAAGATGAGCTAGATCGATTCAGGATATGGGCTGGCAATGTTGCTGCACATCGCAAAGGCCAGCGATCGCTCGAGTATCGGCTTCGCGATGCTGCACACCTCAAGACGGAGACTCACAATCTCTTGACCGCCTTGCAAGCGTCTCTTAAAAATGGTAAATCCCTTCCTAGAATTCTCTATCGCATTTTCTGACTAGCGAACGGCCCTTGCAATTGTCACGGAACAAAAAGTACCGTGGGACGAGCTATCCGACTCGGACAGCGATTCCGAATTTGATACCGAGAGTACAAGGGAGGACGGTGATCAAAACGACACGGAACTGAAACAGCTTCTAGCGAGTGTCAAAAACTCTATTACATGTCTCTTCAGACTATCCATGAGTGTCAGAGACCCGGCGCCTAATAACCAGTCTCGGTCTACAATCACTGTGGACAAGTCATACTTTGTAGAGCATGACATATTACACGCGAGGGAAAAGTTCCCCGAATGCGAACCGTATCTAGCCGAGAGACTGGGGCGCGCACTTTCCGGACGACGACAGTATCTGAGCTATCGTGAGGCACACCATCAGAAGCTTGCTAAGAATATGGAAATGATTGGATTTGAAGAGCCCCGAACGGAACACACGACCAACAGCACTGAGGCAACCCCCATTCCTATAGCTCGAACCAACAGTCTCAATGTTTTTGACGGTGATGACGCACTTTCACAAACCTCATACGCCACGTCAGTGAATGCGGCCATTCGAGTACCGCCATTACCGAAAGAGGCTCGTGAGGAAGAGCATTTTGAATGCCCTCTTTGTTTCATGATACTGTCTATCCATACGAAGTTAGGCTGGAAGTATGTATACTGCAAGTTCCGTACTGGCACCCAGCTAACCACCCTAGGCAACACGTGTATCGAGACCTTCACCCTTACTGCTGTACATTTGAGCATTGCACTACTGCAGATCGGCTCTACGATTCCCGCCATACTTGGTTTACACATGAACTCAAAGCTCATAGAACTTCGTGGCAGTGTGTTGAAGGCTGCGATAAGATATTCTCCACAGAAGAAGATTTCGAGAACCACGTCCAAAGGTCTCATTCCGACCTCTCTGCGCCAAAGATGCTATCCGTATTGAAGCGGACAGCGGCACGGACCGCAAACCTTACTAATCAGGCTGATTGTCCACTATGTGATAAGCGGATGACTCTGAAAGCTTTGCAAAAGCACCTTGGCCGTCACCACGAAGAACTGGCCTTATTTGCCTTACCGCCGAACCTAGACGCCACCGAAGAAGAACCTCAAGATGACGAGGAAGAATCTCTAAATGTGAATCGATGGCAAGATGAAGACCTTTCTGACATCAGTGATACATTCGATGATAGTGACCCCGACGATGAACCAAGGTACTGCCTATGCAACAATGTCAGCTATGGCAATATGATCGCTTGTGGTAACAGCAGCGTTAGTATCCCACGCTCTTTTCTCGCGCTAGGTAATCACTAATACATTTTAGTGCGAGAAGGAATGGTTCCACCTAGGCTGCGTCGGTATAACATCACAAGAAATCCCTACCGGCAATGGGAAATGGTACTGCCCTATCTGTCGTGAAAAGCAGAAGGACGCGGCTTCTGGGGGGGATCTACAAGAATCTACGGAAACTAAGGGGGGAGACGAAGGCAAACTCGCGAAGCTGGAGCCCAACGATGAACACTCCTCAGTCAAGGCAACACTTGAACAAATCGCAGCGATAGCCTCGGATTTCTACACCAATCACGCCCCTGCTTGTGAAGACTTCATAGCTTCCCCTCCTCGACAAAAGACTCAACGAGACAAGGAGCACAAGAGGCTTTACGAGGCTGTTCTGGTATGTATTCTGTTAAAACTCGATGGAGTAGAGACCTACGGCGATATACATGCCCGAGCGAGGCGAAAGGAACTGGTAAAAGCAGTTCAACAGGTTCTCAATAGGATGGATCGCGCTCTCGAGAGCGATTACGGGGAGCTCGAGGAAAGGGAACGACTGGAGACTTCGGGTATAGACTACTTCTCCCATGTCACCACGGAAGACTTTAGATCCAACCCCCCAGAGGACAAACACTCCGACAGCCATACCGATGTTTTAGTATTTAAGCACAAGGGGACGCGCTACCCAACGCATTTCCCAGCCGGCAGCATTCAGAGGGGGGAATTAACAGTACGTAATCTAAGGCATGCTGCGGCTAAAAGATTACGAGTAAATGATCCAAAGAGGGTACTTCTGCTCTTTAAGGGCAGAAATTTGAGACATGATGAAAACACGGCACGAGACGTGGGACTCCGTGCCGATGAAACGAGCAGTGAGATTCTCTGTGTCGTATCTGAAGAACCTGCGGGCAATATGGCGTTCGGGGCTGAGAATTCAACACAAAATTACGTGGATCTGTCCAAAACTGAGGATAAGCCCAGAGAGAATCATGAGGAGGAGGATCACTCACGAACACTTGATGAATACGACGCAGAACATATTCGGCAGAGGGAAGAAGCCCGTCTAGAGCGTGCCCGTATAATAGCAGAAAACACCTCCAAACTCAAAGAAGCTGAACAGAAAGAAAGGGAAGCACGACAACGGGCTGTTGATGAGTACAACGCAGAGCGGCTCAGAAAAGAGAGAAAGGCAAAAGAAGAGCTAGAGCGAATAGTCGCGGAATATGAGCGTAGAAAGTCTGAAGACGAAGTAGAAGCTCGGAGGCAGCGCGAAGAACTTATCACGCGGCTTAAGATAGAGGAGGCGCACCAGAAACAGAAAGAAAAGGAAGAATGGGACCGATTCTTGTTAAAGCAGAAACAAAAGGAGGAGCAAGACAAAGTGAAAAAGGAGGCTCAGGAGAAACAACTTGAAGAAGAGATGCGCCGACGTCTCGAGAGGTTTGGTTTTAATGAAACTCAGATCCAGGCCATTATTGACAGGCCATCGGAGAAGCAGCTACCCGACAGCAGTAAACCCTTGAATGAGGTTGGAGCATCGAGCCACGCACAGGAGCGGGGCATAGCCGAGGCTGGGTCCAGTGGACTCAATCAGCCACCCCGCAACCCTCATGAGCAGCCAGTGAACACGGCTGAACACATACGTGATTTGCAACAAGGACAATCAAGGAACGAGGTTCAACTCAGAGAGAGACTACAACGTCTTGAAGCTCTAGTAGAGGATCTGGGGGGTCATATTGGAGATACTAAACCGGGAGTGAATGCATCTACAGTAGCCGACACGGACGAGCTTAGGCAAAGGTTACTCCGGCTGGAGGGCGCCGTCCTGAGTATGACTTCCCAGGGACAAGAAGGGGGACAGGCCGATAGCAAGGCTGGTCCGAGCAAGGAAGGCAGTTATCTCGCTCAACCTGGGCAAACCCTTTCCCAAGAGGCTTCGTCGGAGGAAGAGGTTCCTCCCAGAGCTTCCCGCAAGTTGACCAAAACCAGCTGCCTGACCTGCCGCAAGAGACGCATCAAGTGCGGCGAAGAGCGGCCGACCTGTGCCAACTGTATCAAGTCCAAACGCCAATGCGAAGGCTATAGCCCGCGCGTTGTCTTCAAACCTCCCCTCGGAGATTGGCCGAACCACCCAGATGTGGACAGGACCGACCGCAGACAATTCTATCAAGAAGCGTTGGAGGAGGCCGGAGGAGCAATTGAAGAGCTAGCTGACTACTCGATTGACAGCCCCCAAGCTAGGAAAGACGGCGAAAATGCTGCAACAGAGAATATGCAGGCCAAAGGTAAACAAGCTGCGTCTGGCCAAGGACCTCGAACGGCACCTCACTCCGAGGGTGCTTCTGTAGCGAAAGAACGCCCCCCCGAGCCTGACGTTCTCATACCCGCTGATTATGAAGAAGACAATTCATCTGAGTTGTATTCAGAAGTACAGACGCGCGATGCTTGGAGGTCACTACGAGCAAAGAGAGAACGTCAAGAGGAAGCGCGACTAGAAGCCCTCAGACAGCGAGCAGATGAAGAGGAGGCTCAGCGACAAGAATCTGAGATACAGCAACAGGAAGCAATGCACGCAAATATTCCGAGACAGAAAGACGTTGAATTCAATAACCCTTTGGCTCCAAAGTGGCCGAAGGGAAACACGACGCAACAAACAAAATCTACGTCTATAGAAGGCACCAATGAAAGACCCAAGACCAAGGAGAAGATAGAGAAGAACGCTAGAGAGCAGCAATTTGAGGAGGGAATGAGAAAGCGTCTTGCTAAATTCGGCTTTCAAGAGAACCAGATTGAAGGCATGGTCAATCCGAAAGACGAACTCGAGCAGGGAAAGTCCTCGGCTAAGCCCTTGCCTTGGATACCGACACAGGAGCCTACGTATGTAAAAGTGCACAAGGACCATTTGGCCATTGATACTCTGATATACTACAACATCCCATATGAGATAGACCGCGTAAGTTTTCCTCACAAAGCTTGATCACGAGACTAAGAACTCTAGTCTGACCCTAATTACATCATCATCCTTAGCGAGATGGGTCCACGCGAAACCGAAATTTTATTTGAGCATACGCGCCGTCTGCGGAACCGTGGAGCCAGTCTTCTTTTAGAGAACCGTAATGCGGATAAGAGACCAGAGCATGCATGGGTGGGGAGACGTACGCGACGAAACTCGCTACCTTCTTTGCACAAAAATTCTGACAATATCCCTCCTATGGTTCGCGAATTCTCTCCTGCCCAAGACGATTTCGAGGCGAAACCAAAAGCTTCTCGCAAGTTCACTGCGGGCGCTCGCGTGGAGACGGCAAAATCCTACGGGGAGGCAACAGATGCTGACAGGCGGCAAAATGAGTAAATTTCATTGGTATCTAATGCCCCATCTAGATCAAGCTAAAGAAGCTGGTAATATCCAGTATTTTATCCAGGATTAGAGGCATTATAAGTAACGTATTTCACAAGCGAGCAGACTACACAAGTGAACAGTCTACTTTAATAACATTTTTATAATTAAATTACATTTTACTCTATAACACCTATATTAATTAATTAAATAAAAAGAATATAATCTATAATACCTACTTTATAAATATTATAGATTTTAACTTAGTAACTTTACTAGTATTAGTAGCTATAGCATTATTAACTTTATAATATAGTAGCTAATTTTATACTTTTTTAGTCTATTTTATTATATCTTGCTTATTATTTAATAGCTAACTTAAATTTACTTTATCTATAATAATAACGTACTTTAGAGGCAAGTTGCTTACACACCTAAGTTACTTACTTTTACTAAGACTACACTACACTACTTTTTCTACACTAATATATTTCTAATAACACTACTTAGACATGTTAAAAAAATATTAAATATAGCTTATACTTTAAGCTTTTAAATAAAATATAATACTTTTTAAGTAATATACTATAGCTATTTATAAAGTTTTTTAAAAAATAATAAGTAACTAACACACTAAATAACTTTTTTAAGCTAATTATATAGCTAATTTATAAAAGCTAAATAATAATAAAAAGTAAGTAATTATTTAGCACATACTTAAGCTAAATATATAAAATTTTCCCTTTTAGCTAGCAGCTATAGCTAATATAGCTAATTCTTTACACACTAAATGTAATATAAGCTATATTAGTATAAACTAGCTTAATATATTTATTAAGTGTTACTTAAAGCTTAAAGTAAAGTTTATATATAAGTATAACTATAAAAAAGCTTTTTATAAAAATTTTATAGTAATTTAAAGCTAGTTTAACTTTATAAAAAACATTAAAGCTAAGTATAGTATTTAAAATAATAACATACATAACTTTAATAAAATAAAGTTTATAATAAGCTAAATATTTACTAAAGTAGTTATTATAAGTTTAGAAAAATAAAAATAGCTAAAAGTAGTTTAGCTAGGTAACTAGAAGTAGATAACAGCTATCTAAGGTATTAATGCTAAAAAAGTAAGCTATTTTACTTTTTATTATTTTTTAAAGTAGTAATTACTTTTTAAACTAGTATAAAAAAAAGTTATTTTAAAATTAAGTTATTCTAGTTTTTAAGTATAGCTAGACTACTAATTAGCTTAGTTTAGACTAGTTAAAGCACTTTAACGCATATATAAAAAAGTGTACTATTAGTAGCTACTATTTACTAGTTATTAATAGCTATAAAAGCTATAACTTACTTTATTTTTAGTAATACTATAAAAATAATAAAATTATTACTATTTATAACGTACCTAACGGGTTGGCCGGCCACACAGGTTGGCCGGCCACTTTTGCCAAGCCCCTACTAAAACCACCCTATTCTAGCGCAAAACAGCCTACTTTAGCCCTATATAAAGTAATATAACACAAGATATTATTTA